AGAGAAAGTGCGTCCAAACAATTTCTAATTATCCGCATCCGCTGGAAAAATAGTAGCAATTATGGTTCGTCTTGTTGAATGTATGGTTAATCATAGAATGCTGCTTGATTCTTCGGCTAATGACTCGCGAAAGGTGTATGTAAGATCTTGCGTTTTTTTTATTTTTTTCTTCTCTTTCGTTCTCTTCTCCGTTTCACGCGCTAATGATCTCACGTTCGATTTCTTATGAGAATTAAAAATACTTTACGATGAATTTTTTTGTGTTCTTTTCAAATTAGAAACTTTTCTTGGTATTACTATTAGCAATGAATAATTGCGCCAATGGTGGATATGAGATTTTAAAAAATCCTTGAACAGGGGATGAGGATTGATCGATTGTGATCAGATTGAATTAACAACTTAACTAATTGGTTAATTCTACAAATGATGATATAGACGGTGTTAAAACATCACGTGTCTGTAGGAGAGTCTCACCTTGAACGTTATGCAACTCGTTATTAACATACTCATATCTATGTTGACTGGGGTTGGTTCATAGAAAAACTACGCTGCATTCGTGTCTAATAAATTGGTTTAAACGGTGTCAGTGTCTAATAAATTAAAAATTCTGTAGAATTATTTTTTCTCTTTGCTAGTTGAGATTGTTCTTTTCGTTTCAATCATTTTGACTAGACAGCGTTTTAAGAAGCTTAAGAAAATTTTTAAGAAGTTTCATGGTGAAAAGAATAATGGAATAGAAATTTTAACAATGGCAAAAATCGTTGAAATTATACTGATATCAAAGAAAAGTATTTTAGCAATAAACGAAGAAGACAATGATAGTAAAAAATAAGATTCAACAGTAAAAAGCAATAATACAAATAATACTTTGAAAGAAATAAACAAAGGAAATAGTTAAGAACAGTTAAAAGTTTCGGATCGTTATCTTCTCTCAGTTCCTGTTGGTTCACTTGGCCAAACCCCTCGAACTTTGACGCTTGACTGATTTTACAATATATCATGAAGAATACTATATTGCGTTTATATATTAACGGTCATCTAATTAAATTGTCTTATACGATATATACAGTTAGAAGATGGCATTTTATTCGAAATCGTAAAATATTGACGAAAATCTGATTGAAAAAAGGAACACGCGTACAATTAAATATATGACGAAGGTTGGCTTGTTTCCATCATCGATCATCGAGAACTCTTTCGCAGTTCGAAATTGGTGGCGAAAGTTGTTGACATTATCCAGGGTATGAGTACGCGCATGATTACGTTCTCGAATGCGCCAACGTTCTTTCATTATTCATGACGGGAACTTCTCAGTAATTATACATTTTAATGATTTGTAAATGGTTTCTTTATTGCCTTGCAGTCCAGGATCGGTACATTGTTCTTCTGCAGAAAATATTCCTGAACGTTGCCTGTAATTTTTTACAAAGCAAGAAAGTTGAACGAAGAGATGTTCGTTACGGTGAACGGTTTAGAAAAGATACTCTGCCCATTGCTAAACTGGATACTCGGTAATGCGATATTTTTGCATGTACACGCATTATTCGAAGTGGAATTCAGAAAAAGCCACTTGTCTGAATGATTTCTATATTCTTTACGATTTTCGTGAAGATACGTTGAAGAAATCGGATGCAAAATTTGTCTTTCTTGAATTTATAATTTAATTTTGTATCTTTCTCTTTTCCACAAATATCTACACCGACACGAATGACGAAACAGTAATATACGGTATGTATGGTATAAAATAAAAATGAATCTTCACGCAATAACGCTTGTTGCATAAGTAGAATCGAGTTAATATTAAATTTCGTTTGAAGTAAATTAACGTAATGTATTTCAGGTATGCGCCTACTCGTAGAGAGTTTGAACAGACTTTCATCCTAATAGATCAGGCAGATCACCGTTAACCGTACACTCTTGCCAAGAGATATTTATTTGACGTATCCGCGTAAATATCATGCATGTCAGGCTCGTGAAAGGGACGGTTACCCCTATCGTGCATGAAACACGATACACGATACACATGTTGCGCGTGCAAGCTGCGCGTGTCACGCTTGGCACTCTTTTGCTTCCGATTCTTTTTGTTCTTCCGTCGGTCAGGAAGCGTCGTAAGGATATACTATATCAAGCACGAGCCAAGTTTCAAACGGAACACTGAGTATAGATGATGGCGTAAGCTGTTCATGCAACAGGTGTTTGTACGGCAATTGAAATGTACAGTCGAACAAATATACATGTTCGCATAATTTGATGTGTGAGAAGTTATGCCGAGGAGTTATAAGATCTGAGTGAGCACGATTGTAAAAGTGTGAGTTTCAAAGCGGTAATTATCAAGACTTCCTGCAAACTCTCCATTGTCGTTAACAGAGAGAGAGAGAGAGAGAGCCAAGATTTAAACCGAATTCGATCGCGTTGTTTCTTTCTCGAGTGATTCGTTTGACATGGACTCTCTTCGCTTTCGTGATGAGCATAACGATGGGAAATCATTGTGTCACCGAGAATCGCGGGGCCCAGTTCTCATGAATCGCAAGACCCGACGTGTAGGACGAATGCATGCAAGCTGAACGCGATTCGAGAGAACGACAAAGAAGGTGGTTGTGCGAGTTGGACGGAAAGGGATCATGGTATAGGTGAAGGAAGGTAGGGCAAGTCACGGAAAGGCATACCATTCCGGGTTTCATTCCGGTGGCATGGTGTGTTCGCGTAGCAAACCGCGGCAACATACAGCAATATACAATACTCACGGGCCAGGCAAACGGTTTCGTCCGACCTCTTTATGGTTACGTGGGAGGAATAGGAAGTCGTGCATTAAATCCGAACGTCCACTTTTCAACGCTTAAACGCTTCTCAAATAGAATGTATAGGATACCGGCGTGAACCGGCACGCTGTGCGCACAAAAGCAAGATCGTGATTGCGCTCATTTTTCAGTTAACACACGAAGAATTCTCCTTCTTTCTTGTTAACCTCTTTCTGCTCGAGTTACTTTACCGGCCGTTCCAACAAAATGGATCAACCTCGGGAAGGAATTCGATGCGATCCCTCGAAATTTCATCAGGCGGATCAGCGTCGTTACGCGATAAAGAAGTCGAGGCGTGGTTCCAACGATCGATAATGATGCACATTGTGTTGAATGCAAGACGCATTGAACCCGCACAGACTCCTGTGCTCTTTAAGTAACGCGTCAATGCACATCTGATTTAATTGAATATATACAGTGGTCGCTAAGTGTAAATAGTGTCATGTGCGAGATGATGAAACGCGAAAGGATTTAGCCTTCGTATCCAAGGCTGACTTCTCGAACGGCGAACAATCGTCTATACTTTAAGCCGGTTTTACGCGGTTTACCAATCCAATGGGGGAACAATGTACCGGTTGATAGCGATATTTATAGCGTTATGGTTCCTCTTCTCTTGATCATCGTTGCTATCCAAATTTTTTTCCCTTATTTGAGTAAGGTTTTCGAGAGAAACGAGTCGACAATTCTAGTAGCTATTAAGGACGAAGTGTTTGCATCGATGCTCATTATATCGCAAAATACAAGTGACGGGAAATGTTTCTCCAAATGAATATACATAGTACATTCTCAACATATATTGTTATGCACATTATATTGTTATATTGTATCTATATTGCATTGTGTAGAAATTTTATTTCTACGATTCCAAGCATCAAATCCGATATTAAAAATAATTTTTTCTTCGATCAATTCTTTACAGGTGCCGGTGAATAGGAACATATTAAAAAGCCGACAATATGAGAAACTCAACGTTATTGAAATGGGCACAGAATTCAGCGAATAGTAAAAATCAAACGAGCAAAAATGGTGAGAAGATTATTTTTATGATTGCACGCATTGATGCAAAGGTTGTGCGATAAAATTGATAATTTTTATTTATAGGAACGAATAGGAACTGGATACACCCACCAGATGCACTCCAAAAAGGTCATATCGCCTACTTAGTCAAGGTAAAATTTTCCTTTCATCGCTGTACAACAAAGAAAATATAACAGTTTTAATAATCGTTTAAAAAAAAAAAAAAAGAAATCGATATTCATTATTCATTGAAACTTTAAATAATTCTCTTATAAACTTTATAATAATGTTTTAACGATATCAAAATCGTGATATGGAAATATAGCAATGTGGTAAGATTGTTTTCTGTTACAAAATTGGCAGATTGTAAATAAAAATAAAGAAATTCTGATCTCGATGTTATCCACTCAATATTTATCCAGATCAGTCTTTCTCGAAATGTCAAGATCACGATGCCCTGCTTAGTCATTATCTATAAAGGGATGGTGGAAAATTACAGTTAATATATTAAAGAAATAAACTTGAGTCTCTAATAGACTAAACAAAAATTTCTGGAACTAATCTTGGATCGCTTGATTTACGTAAATTACTCAAATGGAGTTGCTATTTTTTTTTTCTGCCGATAACGTATATCGACGAAGATATGAGGAAATTATTCATTCCGTCAAGTTATTTAACATTTTGTTTGAGCGCAAATCTTAAATATAAATTGCAAGAAAATAAACATTATGTTTATTTATCATCGATATTACTTTAGCGTGACAAGACCATTATTTTTTTAAATTTTGAAAATAAAGAAAAAACATTTAATTTAATTTAGTAGGTATTGCTTAAATTTAGGAAAAATTTATAGGAATTTTTTCCAATAACTTGAAAAAATTATATAATTATATTTTGGATATATATAAATTAAGAATAGATATATGCATGACCAGAATGAAACTAGTTGAAGTTAAAACGAACAAAATAATGAATATATAGATTTCACTATTTTATCAAGTGAAACAAATTAACTACCATTCATGTTTTTTCCAATTATTATTTATAATTTGTAATTTTTGAATATATAATATATTTTTTTATGAAATATTTAATGTCGTTTTTTTAACATAATGTTAAAAATGTATTAGCGATTTAAATTATAGACGATAAAGTTATATATGTCAAAAAAAGTTTTTTCGTTTTAAAGATAAAACTACTAAATCAATTAATGTTACAAATTACTAATTGCGTGAGCGCATTACATTGTCGATGTTATATATCGTCTTGACCATTGATCTCGATGTCATAATATGTATATATCTTTTCTCTATAGTATATCGGACAAGCAGATATTATGAGGCAATGGTTTATGATAATGCAAATATATATATATATATATATATATATATGTCGAGAAATATACATATAAAAGAAATGCAAGACGAATAACAAAACATACAACGCAATATTTGCACATCGAGTGTAACAAATTTTCTTTTCTTTACTTATATTTTGATTTATATTTTGATTTTCTCATTCATTGATTATATTTTTTAGTATTTGGGCAGCACAGAAGTGGATCAACCCAAAGGTATTGAAGTTGTTAAAGAAGCCATTTGTAAATTGAAATTTAATCAACAATTAAGGAAAAGTGAAGGTACGAAGACTCCAAAAGTGGAACTCACTATAAGCATTGATGGAGTTGCCATTCAAGAACCTAAAACGAAAACTTCGTCAAAAGTATTACAAATTTTTAATATTTAATATTGATGATTAATATTGATGTATCATTATTTTATAAATTTTCTGAATTAATGATTTCCTTTTAGCGGATTATGCACCAATATCCACTGCATAGAATATCATACTGTGCTGATGATAAGGGCGAAAAAAAATTCTTCAGCTTTATCGCAAAAGAAGAAGGTGCCGAGAGACATACATGTTTCGTCTTTGTTAGCGATAAATTAGCTGAAGAGATCACGTTGACAATTGGTCAAGCATTTGATTTAGCTTATAGGCGATTCTTAGAAACATCTGGAAAAGATTTAGAAACACAAAGGCGTTGCATGATATTACAACAAAAAATAAAACGATTAGAACATGAAAATAATGTATATCGTCAGCGGTTACAAGACATAGCTGCTATTAAAGGATCGGTTAGTTTAAAAAATATATATTTAAAAAAGAATATGTTAAACAATTTTTTTTAAATTATGTTTTTAAATTATAATTTCATGAGAATTTCTTGTCTTTAGGCTGACGTGTCAGCATATTTGTCACAACACAATCTTCCGGATATCCTGCACGTGCCTGGGACTACAAATGAAACAGTGCAAGTAAATGGATTGGGAAATAAATCTTCTCTTGGTTTAAATAATGATAGCAATGGAAATACTTCCAATGGCTCTCAACAACCACCTCCAGTTCCTCCAAGAAGTTTTGAAAAAACGTTTGACGATAATTTTATGGGGTATATAGAAATATTTTAATAAATGTATTTTAAGATTTTAGAATATTTATTATTTAATGATTTTATATAAATAGAAATGAACCTACCCCTACACCATCAGTTGGTACCAAATTGGAAGGACTTTTGATGGATGAATTTGAGGAAGATTTTAATCCTAGAGCATATGAAAGTGCGATCAATGGCTTGGCGAATCATCAAACGAATCATAATAATCTTCTAAATAGTCAAGTATCTTCGAATTCCAATTTTTTCTCACAAAGCAATGGTACTACAAGTCCTCCACCATTATGTAAGTTAATTATTTTTTATTTTTAATAATAAAAGTTAAATATCTACTACATATTTTTCATATTATTTAGTGGCTCCACCACCAAAAGCAAAGGATTCAAGACGTCAAAATGGAGTAAAAGAAGATTTATTTGGTAGCATTCCTTTCAATCCCACACCACCCGTAAATACAAAAAGTGAATTCAATGATCCATTTGAAATGGGTGAATTTGGAGCTACAACAACTATTTCTAATCCTAGCCAACAAGAATTAGAAAATGCGATTGGTCTTTTAGATAAGAAATTACTCGAAATGAAGGTATAATTCATAAATAATATATTTGACATATACATTTATAGGTATTGTTAATATTTAACATATTTCAGGATGGTTTTAGTAGGGGCTTATCAATTGATACTGACGATTTCTCGTTGGAAAGTTTGGATCCACTGCGAAATTAAATTAAATGTTTTTTTTTAAAGAAAAAGGCAATTATCATTATTATATGTATATTGAAAAGTATAAAAGTCAAAAAAATGAATAGGCAAATTACATATATTATAACAAATTACAAAAATATACATTTATGGAAAACCAAAATTAAAATTAGTCAATTACGTATTATTATAATTATGCTAATTGTATATTTATCATGATATTTGATATTTATGATATGCCTATTGAACGTTGATAATTTTGGTTTGAATATCAGGAGACTTTCAAATATTAAAAGTATAAGAAAACAAATGGTATTGATATTTATATAATGTATCTTTATTAATATCATTTGTTTTTTTTTTTTTTTGTAAAAATTTGAATTATTATAACATCTTAAGAATATAATAATACGAGAATTTCTTATTGCAATTTATCATAAATCAAATGACAAATTTTCATATCAAATGTTTTTTCTTCTTTCCACATTTATAAATGAATAAATCAACTATTGTGCCTTTCATTAGTATTTAATGGGCTAAACTGAAATTTGTCTTTAAGCTCATAAATTTAGTTTTGTTGTTGAAGTTATTATTCATAACATATAAATTTTATTATAAAAAATAATCATAAAATAGAAAAATTCATAGATAAAATATTTTCTGTATAAAATATTTTAGCACTTTTTTCAATTATATTCCTCTATAAGAATATACAGAATTTATCATGTGATATTATTATTGTTTTTTAAAATCGATTAAATATGGCATCACTCTGAAAATAAAATATGATTGCCTTCATTATTATTATAGTCTAATTAAACAAAAATTAATACTATATTTTTATGTAAACATAATCGAACATTTATATGCATTTTTTCTGAATTAACAAAAGAAAAAATGTTAAAACTAACTGGAATAGTAGTAAAGACTATTATTAGATGATTGTATATCTAATATATAAATCTTTTTTATAGATTTTTCAACCCTCTTCTACCTGTTTTTCCATTTTCTATTATATTCATTTATCATCAATAAATAAAGGAAATATAAAGGAATGAAAATATAAAGAAAGCGTGAAATAATATGAATGTCGTGATATAAAAAATCTTAGATATAAATTTTATAGACTTATATATACATCATACATACATCATGCAATGTTCAAGATTATAAAAATTAATGTTTGTTACAATAAGAGGAAAATTATTAATTATGTACATATGAAATGCTGTTTTATTGTTGCTCTATTGTTTAAGCATTATCATTAAAAATATAATGCATAAATAATGTAGCTGACAAATTTGTTTTATTTAACCTATATTTACTTGAATTCCTTAATTTTAATATGAAACGAAAAAATTTTTTATTTGAATTTCAAATAATCGAATTTTAAATATCGATACTTTCTATTCGATATATTGAAGATTGATAGTGTGATAATATCGATTCTCGATATATTTGAATAGGATTAATACGTTATTAATTCGTTTATTTCTTTAATTATCAGTTAATTTTATATAAAATATTAAAATAATTTTAAGATTATATTAATGTAATAAAAAGATATTAAAAATTGTTTAAATAATTATTTATTTATAAAATAACTATGTTTAATAATTATTAAATACAAAGCAAGAACACTAAAAAAAAATAATTAATACTTTAAATTATGACATGTTTCTATTTATGATTTCTATTACGATAATTATATATTAATTATATATACATATTTATATTAGTAATTTAATTGCTTTTGTGAATATTATAAAATATTGGAATAAGAGTTTGCTAGAATACCGACTGAAATCAATAACGGAGAATTGAGAACTCTTCCGTGGTGAGGCGCTATTGTCGTGAACGTGGCGAGGCACGCGCTGCGTCAGTATTCCGCGAGCTTCCATCGCGTTCTGTTGCAGTTAATCGTTGAAGAAGGGAGGTACCTATCCTATTCGATAGTGAACTGCGGAGAACGAGAAAAAGTGCTATTCTTCTAAACAAGAAACTCCTAATTAAAGAATGGCGGACGACAGTCACGAGAACGGTACAAGCAACGGTGATGTACCTGAGATCGAGCTGATTATCAAGGTGAGTTTGTACCACGCGTGAAGTAAAGACGGGGAAGAAGGAAGAGATAGGAAAAAAAGGCGATCGTTTCGTGCACGATATGGGCGTGGAACAAACGACTAGTTTCTTTTTGTATTTTCTTCTTCTTTTCAATATTTTTTTTTTTTCATTTGCCGATTAGGAACGCCACCGAAACAATCATCTGTGACAAAGATCCGTGTGCATCGTTTACCGTTTCGAAAATAAAGAAGCTGCTCTCAGTGACCATTGATCGTTTGCAAGTAGCGTCCAACCGCTTCTTTCATCTTTTATTTTCTTCACCCTTTTAGTGGCTTAGTTATTTGAACAAATCACCAATCAATCAGATGACTCAATTTCGATAAGTTGAACTTTAATATGCTTTTCGAATATGGTGGAACGTAACCATTGTTCGAAAGCTTTTCGTATTCTTTAATGATTAATTAAAATAAAAGCACAAGAGACATCAAGGAAAATATATACAGAACCATTTCGTGCAAAGAAATCAACATAACGCCAATAAAAATAGATATATACATATACATATAAATGAGATTCTGGTTGACCGCGTTTTCTACGTCATTAGTTCTTCTCTAAAAGAAAGAAATGATTGATTCTTTATCTTGGAGTATATTTTTATGATAATGTATTTATTCGTTTTTACACGTATTGCATTTATTATTTTTTATAACTAGTTTTTCCCGCGTAATTCGTCACTGAAAATATAACAATTTCACATTTATTATAGACATTCTAGAACCACAACGATGTATTTGCACGGGTCATATATTAATTTAACGAGATTAGAAGCATTCACACATAACCAAGCGAAGGATAAGAAAATAATGGCTGGAAGGTTCCGCTCTCCGTTCTTGTAATTAGCGATAAAAATAGACATGTATCGTGAAAATTAACTTTTGCTCTTCGATTTTCATTATCGAAAGATAACGAAAATAATCCAAATTTATTAACTCTCTTTTGAAATTAATTTTTTTATATTATCACAGATATTATTTTCGGAGCAACAATAGATAATCGTCATAGATTCATACAACGTTCGATTTAATCGAGAACGAACTCGATTCCATTTCTTGGAACGTTCTTTCACCACATTTTCTGGGAAAACATCTCCTTAGAGGGAAAGAGGCTTCCTTCGATTGTCCAATTACGAGTTGTCGATTAAACTTTCGCCAATCGGATCGACTGAATCCGGCCTCGGATTTGCTTCACCTGTGTGTTGCTTTTAATCAAGCCTTCGCTATTTCAGGCAATGTCAAACGTTAATCTTATCGCATCTACTCGACTGAAAGTACAATTGTGTTAGAAATATTTTCTCATAAACAATTTTCTTCTTATCATTACTGGATCGTAATAAAAATAAATAAGCAGAAGAAAGAATGTATCGGAATTTATTTCATAACACATTTTATGAGATCATTCACAAGAATAATTATCAAACTATTATCAAGATTTTCCGATAATAATAAATTGATAATAAAAATATTATTCAAAATTAAAAATATTACAAAAATGAATTTAAACTTTTCGTAAATAGCATTGAAAATATTACTCTGTTCTATAAACATTTAAATTTAATAGAATTTTTCAAAAGAAATTTATCCGATCGATCAAGATCTTCATATAAATATTTTCTATAAATAAAGATTTGAAATTGCATGTTCTTCCGTGAGCCTGATTTTCATGCTTCGAATGCTACTGAATTTTTTTTAATTGCACATTGACCCAGAAGAGAGATAAAGAGAAATAAAGAGAAATAAAGAGAAAGAACCTTATAAGTGGAACCCTACAGGAACAAGAGATAACCAACAATGTTCATTACAAGAAGAGATTTAATGGCAACTAGCCGACCTTGCACTCGGAAGGCGATCATGCGAGGTCTTCGTAAGTGTGTCAAACGGGATGAAACGACGGGGAGCTCGACGAGGTCCTCAAGATTCTACCGTTAAACGATGAACTCCTTTACCTTCCGCTTTCCTCGCCTTCTGGCTTTCCCCCGTGCGTAAACAGCTCCCCTTCCCTTCTTTCCTCTTCTTCATCCGCCATCATTCTCTCTTTACCTTCCTGATTACTTTGCATCGGCTTTCCTCGTGACCATGAATCTTTTAACTGTTAATATCGTCTCCATCTCGAAGATTAGTCATTCTTGTGTTTTATTTGCATACCTGTGAAAAATGGTCGATGCATGAGCAATGAATGACAGAGAAAAGGAAAAAAGGACAAAGAATTAGAAGAACGAAATACAGGAATGTGTATGAAGTGATATTTAATTTATTCGTAAATAATAAATACATGCATGCAAATATTCTACGTTGCACCATCATGCATAGGGAAGTATCGTGTGACTGAATGCGGTTATAAAAAATCGATCAGATGTTGCGGCTTAATCTTTCTTAAGGTCATTATGAGGGTTCTCGGTTAGGAATAATAGATAGAATTATGTCTCGAATAAGTTATTTTTTGTATCGAATTAACAGATATGCAAAAATAAATTTTTCACAAATAGGAAATTTTCACAAAGAATTTTTTTCTAAATTTAATAGAATTTTTTAAAACGAGTTGTTTGTTAATTGGAACGAAGTGTATATTTTATTTATATATTATATGACGTAATAAAAAAAATGGAGAAAAATAATGATATAATATGTTGCACATTTAACATATATAAAAGATATATCATGAAATTATATTCATTAATACACGTATCTCAATGATAGTCATTGGCTTTTATTATATTCGCCTATTTACCATATGCTGTGCATTATACAGCAACTTGCCTGCTGATGACGTGTTGTATCCGTAAGCATTGTTCTCTTCCTTTTTACATTTTGTCCTCTTCTATACCGATATGCCGAAGCCAAGTATTCTAATCGCGTGTGCATTGCAGGTAAAAGACGAGAGAGCTTCGAAAACCGCTTGATACGTTCTATAAGTCTATTCGTCGGTCAAATTGAAACGGGAATCCCGTGTACCGATGCGAGGAGAAACTCGCTTATTTCAGAAGAAATCAGGAATTTGCTTCGGTCAAATATCAGCCACGCTTCTCATATTCGGCCATTTACATTTTGGTAGCTTACTAGACAGAAATTGTCGATACGGGAATCACATTTGCCGCTATGAAAAGATATAAGTTGATCACAATTAAATTTTTAAGCGTTCAAGAGAAAAAACGCAAATAACAAGCATAAGATTATTATTTCGAAGATGAAAGACGTTCGATACTTCGTGACATTTGATCTAAGGTCACCGCTTTCCACGTCATTGATATTTGATGACACGGATCTCTTCGATGTTTTCCTTAATTGATCGAACTTGTGTTAAATGTTTGTTCTATTCGAGAAATCTCGTTTTTTTTAAGTACGATTATAATATATAATTTGCACGTCTATCTTATAATTGTTAATTACTATTTGTTAATCTGCTATTCATTGTATTTTCAAAAACACGGAACTGACCTGATACAAAGGTTACATTTTTGACCTTGGTCAAAAAATTGCCAAGCGCACACAACAAGAGACAAGTGACCACGCTCATTTCTCGAGGATCAAGGTATAACTTGCTCGCATCATTCGTTCTTAAAACTTGGAGGTCGGACTTACGTCATCGAGGAAAAAATAATCAGCCACGTGAATATCAACTATTCGAATTGGTTCTTTCTTTTTCATTAAAAAAACACAATGGTTGCTGGATTCGCTTTGGATGTCGTTACGATCGAAATCGAAATATGATTTTTTTAAAACTGAATGAAAATAGAAATGACGTTTTTGATAGGAACTGGCATATTGCCAGTTATCAATTTAATCAACTTTTGTACTGCTTTTTTTTTTTTTAGTAATTATTATGTATAATATGTAATAATTATAATTATAATTATTAATTATAATTATTATGCTATATAGAATTTTTATTTTTATTTTTAAAAATAAAAATTTTATAGTATGCAAATAAATTTGTGTGGTTTTTCATTATATTTTAACGAGTTTAAATAAAATGAATTTCTTTTTATAGCTATATGTGCGAACTAAAGCTTCTTCGTAGTATCTTTTAGTAAGAAAGAAAGCAGGGTGCGTCATCGAGGGGAATAAATAAACCGTGACATCGAGAAAATGAGAGCGGAGCGAGTACGCTAGATACTCTCAATTTGCTCGATCAACTGGAGAAAATAGATATCGTTTCATGTTTGCATCATTCGATGAAATTTTTATTGTTCACCATTTATTATTATTTTTAACAAAAAAATCAGAAAAGAATCAACGAAAATTGATATTATTAATTATTAATGTACGATAAATTGACAATGTGAATATATTTTTTGCAGGCTTCGACGATCGATGGTCGCCGAAAGGGTGCATGTCTCTTCTGTCAAGAGTACTTTATGGACTTGTATCTTCTTGCTGAATTGAAAACAATTTCTCTAAAAGTGACCACGGTCGACATGCAAAAACCGCCGCCTGATTTCCGCACCAACTTTCAGGCAACACCTCCGCCAATCTTAATCGATAACGGCGATGCGATATTAGAAAACGAGAAAATCGAACGACATATTATGAAAAACATTCCCGGTGGACATAATCTCTTCGTGCAGGATAAAGAAGTGGCTACCCTTGTTGAGAACTTGTTCAGTGTATGTTTAAAAACTGAAGTCGCTTTTGCCAAGAAACTGCTACTTTCTCGCCAAGAGCAATCGCTCAATGTGTACACGAACGTTTTTGTTTTAGAAACTGAAACTGTTATTGTTGAACGCAAAGGATAAGGATAAAGATCCAAAATCCTCGTCCCTGATGGCACACTTACGTAAAATCGACGAACATCTAGGCCGTAAGGGTACTCGTTTCCTCACAGGCGATACAATGTGCTGTTTCGATTGTGAACTTATGCCACGACTTCAACACATCAGGGTGGCCGGCAAATATTTTGCGGACTTTGAGATTCCTGAAACTCTAGTGCATCTCTGGCGATATATGCATCATATGTACAGGCTGGATGCCTTTTTACAAAGTTGTCCGGCTGATCAGGATATCATTAATCACTATAAGTTACAGCAGGTTGAATAAATTTAAAGAGATGAGAATTTTTTTTTCTATTTTTTTTACTTTTACTGATTACTGATATAATTTATATTTTATTGAAATTGTATTATCGTTTCAGAGCATGAAAATGAAAAAGCACGAAGAGCTAGAGACTCCGACATTCACAACCAGTATCCCAATCGAGGTCAACGACGACTAGGCTGGACCTCTGCCGTCGGGTCTACGATCTCGTTACTTTGACGTAGAAAAGTCCTCGACATCGGTGTAGAAATAAGCAGTGTGAACAATGTGGCACACGAAATACATTTTTTTTACAAAAGTTGCAGTTCTTCCAAGGAATGATTCTGCAGGAAGAGTTCACTATTTATCAGAAGTTATTGAAGTACTTTTAAAAAAGGTTCTATTATCTGGATTTGATTGTGCCGATTCGGCTACACCGATTTATATAAATTTTTGCTACGTATTTTTTGACAAATTATCGTCGACTCTTTTATGGCCTAAACTGATGCAGAACAAGTAGCTTTTTTACCGCAGAAAACAGTAGAAGATACGTATATGAGTGTATTAAGGCTTTCGAGAAACGATGTGTAAGCGTATCCAGAAAATTTAAACAATTTTTCCTTTCCTTTCTTTCCATTTTCTTTATCTTTTTTTCTCTGGTACGTATGCATTTCATACGTAATATTCATATGAATAGCATTATTTTTAGAAAAAGTATTTTAATGTTTTACATATACTTTAGATCAAAGCTAACGTATTTTTTTTTTTCTTTTTAAAGATAATGTATTTCAATATTTTTGATGGCGCGTAATGTTAACACAAGTAGAAAATACGAGAGAGACGTATGCATTTGAATTATGATTAATACTTGTTTAAATTAATTATATTTCGTATATATTTCTTTATCATTTTTCTTTTGTTTTCTGGAAAGTGCATTGTATTTATCATACATCTAACTAATCAATAAATTGAATTAATAATGGTTATTCTTTAATAAACGTTTACATTGTATTCCTTCAGCATATCAATCCCAATTTGAATATAAGAAAAGGTATTCTAGTCTCGTGTAATTCATCATTCACACGTAATGATAAACTTAGCATTTTTTCGTATATTCAAAATATTTTTTATATAATTATATTTGAATAAATTATAGTGCATACGTTTCTTCCAATTTCTACGCTACAGTCAGTCGAAAAATTCAAAAATACAAAGAATTTGTGATATGATCATTACAAATTTCTTTGCAAATATTATTCTCGTAATGATAAAAAAAATCATTATTTGAAAACAGCCAGTGCTTATTTTTCATTCAATATTATTCAGAAATCTAACAAATTCGGTATTTTATATTAGTTATTGTACTATTATTACTATTATATTGTAAATCGTTATTATAACTATTATATATATTGTACTATTTTGGTTTATACTTGTAGAAACGAATATATCAATATTTACATTGACTTTTAAGTTTATAGATATTTTTAATATCTTATTCATTTCCAACAAAAATTTGGAAAATATATTTTCTACATCATGATAGAATAGAATTTTCTAAAAATGAAAAGGAATATGTCTATCTTAACGACGTTGCTATCTATTCGTATAAGTTTTAAAATAGCATACTCCTTCCCTTTCCTTGAGACTGATACTGATTATTACGACGTGTCTTCCATTCATAAATAGGGAAGCACTTGTCGTATGAGCGGCCATTTTGACTACGCAATCAATAAAACTTCTTTTATTTTGATATTTAAAAATGCAAACTTTCATATGAATGTTCGAAAATGAATAAATAATAAATTAAATTAAAATATTCGAAGTATATAGAAATATTTTTGCTAAATAAAAAACATTTGAATGCATATAGTTTTTCAATCGATTAATGTCGTTTCAGTACGCAGTGCACAGCTGATCAGTGGTCCCAACGGACGGTCGCCGCTTGTTCGTGTCTTAAAATCTTCGAAAACGACTGAAAAGTTACTATTATCCGCGTGTCTGTACAGTGACAATTGAAATTTCACTTTTAAATACGTGAATAAAATTGCGGCATTTACAAAGTGTTTTTATCAAGTGTTCGAAGTGAACGATTACTGGTTTCTCGTTCGTTGGACATTTCCAATGGTTGCCGTCCGGTGAGTTTCAAGCTTACGATTTGAATTATACATTAAAGTATACATAATTCAAATTTAATTTGATTTTTCGAAGTTCTTTATTCTTCAATTTTCACAATATCAATAGTACAAAAAATATAAAATCAATAAGAATGGAAACGAAAGTATAATTTAATTTTTAGCTTAGTTTGTTCCATGCAATGAAATATATTGGATTGTATCGAGTATTATAATATATTAACAATATATTCGTATGGATTGATTTTCATTGATAAGTACATGATACATCGAATATTCTTCTTATTTAGTTTTTATTTTTATTCTGGTTTTTTAATTGATAGAGGTATTGATTTTCAAATTATCGTAACTTATATAGTAACTTCGAAACAAATGTCAATCTTTTTGTTGATTGATGATGAACTTTTGTTAATCATTTCTATTTCTATATATTATTATTTTTTTTATATACATATATTTGTTATCAAAGTGTATATGTAACTTAGTCTTTCTTTGTCGTTTGTTAAACAAGGAAATATCGTTGCTCTTTTTAATAAGCTTTCTATAGGTAATTTCAAAAGTAAAGAATTGTTATAATTTTATTTCTTTCGAGCGTATCATAAACATAAAAGGAACCAGGTCAATTGATTTTATGAATTCTAATCTTCAACTATTTTAGCTGTTCTGACATATATTATTCGATTTAAAAACTATAGTAATATTTAGTCGGTTAAAAAGTCTCGTTTTGAACAGTCATTGGAAAAGTAAACACTTTATTCTATGAATCGTAACAACAAAGATAATATTTATTTACATAAGCTTAATGTTTGCTTCAAGTTATGTAACTATTTTTTAATAACTACAATATTTTGTAATTTTTGATATAATTAATCGGTGTTAATTCTTTAGCAATTATCCTGACTACCGGACTTTCGATCGGAAGATCGAAATTTAAATTTTTTGGCACATGTGGAAACGGAATTTAAAGGTCAACGATATATTTATAATAGCGTGAAAAAGCTGTTTAGTAGTTAATAAACAAGTTTTACGGATGTATGCAAATTATCGAAATCGTAAAGAACTAACGTCATATCAGGCATATCTGATATGTGTATATACCGATGTGTGTATATACAGGTAAAGGCGCGTTCACACTGTTAACGATTATCTTCTCGTGTTATCGATTGCCCTAAATTATAATCTACAACAACGATATTGGATAAATTACTTTAGAGTTGGATGAAAAACAAACGAATTGCAAGAAAAAGACTCGGAGTTAGTGATTAATATTCAAAAGGTTAATGTAATGGTTAACACTGACGTTTTCTACGTGAAAAAAAGTATAATATTATTTTCAGGATAGTGTTTATTTTTACCTCGAGGCGTAACTTATCGTAGCTCTGCTTAACGTTAGCGTTGCGTCCCCCGTCAATTATTATTCTTGGTTCCTTATTTTTGTCTGCCACTAAGCTCGACGTACTTTTTTCTCTTTTTTTGCTCGTAGTAGTTTCAGTCGGCCATGATTACTGTGCTTTCATGCAGTTCTAAAATATTGCGCGTAAAACGACAAGTTATTGGCAAGCTCGATAATTTGCATATCTCGTTCTCGTGACTGGAAATGTAAATAATTGCGCGAATGAGAGACATATCGGCTCTTTTTTGTGAATAAAAGCAATTATCATTATTAACCTTTAAAAATTTTTCTGATATTTTTAACTTTGCATTTATATAGTCGCGCATGTTACTTCCGTCTGATGGATATGCGGCTTTATGAAGCAACAGGTGTCAACTCAACTTGCATAGAATAATTTTCTATAGTTTGTACTCTTAATTAATATTATCATGTTAAAATATAATTGTAATTTCTTTATTTCTGTATCTCGTTGATCAGATTTTTTTTATTGATTTGTACAATTGTCATTTTAGGGCGGAAACGATTCGTTTGGCAGTGTGACATTTGTGCAGAGATATTGGAACAATTACGAACAATCGGGAAACGGGAGTAAAGGATATACAAAAAGAAACATCGAAAAAATTATTCCAAATGCGTGAAAATACTCGTGGAATTTGCTTTTCCCTGCATTGCCAGGAGTAGACGAAAACAGCCACGCTGTGTCTCCTGGGTATTTCATGACACAAATATCTTCCCGGCATGTTGGAATTCCGCTTTTCCTTTTTCGCCTGTCCCGACGAACGACGTTCTCGTTCCCCTCTTAAAATCCCCTCTGTGTCACTGATAGAAACATCCTGCGTGTCTGGTGCAATTAAAAGATGCTTCTCCTTTGCTCTCAGGCCAAGGGAAAAATATATTCGTTCCGCTCCCGATCGAAACGGCAGCGCGAGAGTTGTCCATCGTGTCGAATCCCGCTTTGTAAGAATAAACGTATAATGTCATCGTTGGTCGTTGTCGAGGGAAAAGTCACATGTATCGCGTATTTTCCGTTGATGAGGATTCCGTTTGGCAAAGGAAAGCGAGTTCGGTAGAGATTTGCACAATCCTCGACGGGGTCGGAACGAATTCGATTCACTGTTGCATTTCCGCATCGAGTACCTGCCCACTCGCGTTTATTTGCATTTTCGTCATTTGCGTGTCGAACGACCGACTGTCTGGCAGACGTTACCGGTACAACCAGCAAAAACGCGTGACAGATACAAAGTGACGCGAATGTAACTTTGTAACTTTAACTTTATACAAATACTTAGAACAAAAATACATATTTTATATTTGTATAAGAACGGTGAAGGAATTAGTAGAAGAATTAGTAAAATCTTGCGATTCATAAGGATTCGTAACGGATATTTTTCGATAAGAATTTTGAATGCGTTTTTTTTTTTTTTTTAAACGCGCGCGTTTCGTTTGCCCGATTCGGAACACGATTAAGAAAGCCGCGGTTAGAAAGTAGCGGTGTTTAAAAGAAGATACTCCGATTAGGGCGAACGCTCTCTAATCGGAGGCTTGAATGTACGGCCGCGTGCCAATAAACAGTTTTCTCTCTGATTGATGCTTCACTCACCTGACATGCCGGCCTGCCAGGTGCTAGGCAACGGAAGAAAGAGAGTCGAATTATTAATTCTACCTAGGACTTTATTCTCTCACGTGGCTGGGTGCCAAGTGCGAATTGCACTCGCAAAGCTTCTAACCTCTTAGTTTCTTCCGATCGAGCGAACAACCCTCTCTCTACTCGCTTTTTCTGGATTTTCGGCACAGCCTTAACGCATCCACAATCGAAAATGCGTAGGAGTAGCTGCGAGTCGGACGGTACGTTGGTTTTCAATCTTATGCTTTTAAACGTGATTTCCTCGCTCTTTACGCGAATTTTCGGATGTTAATAATATTTCCTCAAGGTTTAACATCGGTTACAGTGTTTTTTTTTTTTTCACGGTAGCTTTTTTCTTCTTTTTCCTCTACCACTAAACCGTATTGTAATTTTTGCCATTTTGCAAAGGGAGTCGACGGTATAAAGGTTAAATTGCTGTGAAATTTTTTCTTTTTCATAACTCGTAAGATCATTGAAAATATCGATCCCTAAATTTTTCGATGCAACGATGCGCTTACGCGGACGGATAAGCGCATGCGTGCACGCGTGGGAGCGTGGCACGCGCAGTGCCGGCTAATTATGTGGCACTCCTACGTGCCACGCGGCACAGGTGTCCACCGTTTCTTTACTCGCTGCCAATTCCGTAACGTAACGGGTGTCTCTTGGAGTTATCGACTCGTAAAATCCTATTGAAAACGCGAGGCAAGTTTTTCCTTGAAGCATCACTATAGAATTTTCTTAGAATTTTAATCTCGTTTAAAATCGACAACGAATCGAAGCGGATATACACTACTCTACACATACCATACGAATTAGAAGTAATCGAATGGAGAAGGATGATCGATAATCGACAATACGACACTAGCAACAAAAGGCAAGATTTTCGTTGGCGCATCTGGTATGTACACACCAGATTATAGGCGAATTCATCCTGTTGAAAAATGGGTGAAACAGTAATGGATTTAAATAACGAATGGCGCATCGTGAAAAGCGGAAATGCTCTCGTTCCTTTTTCCCTTTTCCTATGAGAGAGAGAGAAAGAAAGAGAAGGAGCGATTGTGGGGAGAGAAACGATTGCAAATACATTAAAAAAAAAAAAAAAAAAAAAACGATCGAAGCGTTTCGAGAAATTAACGATCGTATCTCAAGTCAAAGAAAATCTCCGAACTTAAGGAGTCCCGCGTACACGGATCGAAGTTTGGTGTGGCCTTCGCTATAATTAAGAGGATTCAACGCACGATCATGCGTAATATTTCATCGCGTCTCCAACAAGTGAGGCGATTTGCCCCGGCAGGTTCCACGGTCTTTACCTTTTCATTTTCTCACGATTTTGTCTCCATTAATCGCATCCCCGTCCACTCATCCGTGGTTGAATAATTTGAAACACTTTCGCGCACTGACACGAAATTGCAAGAAACGTCGTATTTGGAGGCCATCCAAATCGTTTATCCACTAAACTACAAAATTTCGACGATCTTGCCGGATTCCACCTTCTCCCGGTCTCGTTTGTCTACCACAACACATACTCGTGCTCGTTGGAATATCATCGATAACAATTTACCTTACTTTATCCACAAATATACATTGTTTCTCATTTTCATTATTTCGCGAATTTGTCTCGATCGACACACCCAACGATCGTGGCGATCCTCGGTTTATCGATCAATCAACTGCGGGCGTATTTGTTCCTTCGACATCGAATCATACAAACTGGTGTAACAAGAGACCTGGCACCCACAGGTAGGCCTTGCCAGGAGGATGGGGGCCCACGATGGGGGAGTGCCATTGCTCTAACATCGCTATCATGCAGCTGTTCCATGAGCTGAAGCAGCAGTTCCCTGCGCTCCCTGATCACGTCGTTTCCCAGTGCATCGCCCAGGTATAGGTGCTCTTTGTCCGCCAGATATATCGTTCCTATATGCTGGTCTCCCGGAAACTTCGATCCAGAGCAAAGAACGGAGTAGAGAAAGAAATTTTTCTTTCACGCAATGCGATCGTAAACGATCGCAGATTGCTCGGATTGGATCGAGTTTTCCGGGAAGAGTTCCTTCTTGATTGCACAGTGTGCCTCAGTTTAACCTCAGTTTAGAGAGATTTGTTCTTTTCGCTCATCCAAGTGTCAATGCTAAAAAAAAAAAAAAAAAATTGATCATCATCATAACGACTAACCATACGACGCACCACATCGCGAGTATCTTAACATTCCTGCATTGCAAATTAACAGACATAAATTTCTTCTCTCATTGCACGAGCGTGGAACCTGTGTGTATATAGACGTCCTTTGTGTTGACCATTTGGTTTTTCTCTAATTCCGCATTCAAAAATATATATATACATATATAGCGTTTCTTAATCAGCAAAGATTGACCGCACTAAACAATATAATTTCAATTCTCTTCTGTATTCGCGTTGGAGAAGTTCTGGGATTTCCAGTCGCTGAAAATCGTTCTGATAACAAAACGTGTTGTCAAAACACGTGTATGTTTCCATTACCGCGAAAGATAGACCAGGAAATCTCACAACTATCCATTATGTCAAGGATCGCGCAATTGCAACATTTAACCCTTTGCGGTCTATCTTTCTCTGCAAACTTCTCGGCAAACTCCAATTACAACGGACTATGCATTGATTGAAACTTGAAACCAGAAGCAAATCCATCCGTGATTCGAACGTTCTCCCCTAACTTAATCGGACCGCAAACGGTTAACTGGCATCAATCCTCTAGGAGGAGAGTAAAGTCGAAGAGTTGAGAGAGAACAAGCGTTTAAGCGTCCGTTGCTGGGATCCAGGAGAGGGAAGAAAATTTTCCAATTGGAAAAAGAAACGCGAAACCCTCCCCTCGGCGACACGGTGTCCGGAAATTGGCTGATCCAGTGTGCATCTGTTCATTGCAGAACAGCCACGATCGGGAGACATGCGCGAGAAGTCTTCGCGCCACCCAAGAGTCACGACAGTCTCCGGGTGCATTCCCACCGGCGGTACTTTGCGGCATCCTCCAGCAGCAACAGCATCATCAACAACGAGCGAACCACGTGGCTGCGCAGCAGCAACGTTGCTGTTCGATGAATCAAGCGCAGCGCGGTTGCGGCACGAGCAACCCCCCCACCACCAACAACACGCGGCCGCACAGGCCGGCATCACTGGACATCGGTATGGCGCGGCGTTGCCCTGTCGCCTGTACACGAGCAGCTGCCGTATCAGCCTCCTCGCCGGTCGCGGCTAACTCGTCCACCACCCCTTCCTCGGCGCCTGCCGTCTGTACGACACGCGGTTTCTTCGACGATTGCACAGGAGCCAGCGACTCGAATTGCCTTAACAAAGTCCAGAACGCGGGAAACGAGCCAGCCGGATTCGAGCTGAACGTGAACGTTGCCTGTAGCCCTGCTGGCAATCGCGGTACGCATCCACGTACCAGAGGTAGTTGATTATCCGAGATAGGGGAAGTCGAAATAGATGGATGGATAGTAGGAAATCTCCTTGATGAACGATCGGAACGGTGTTGTCCTGTAGGGCTAGGATTAGGACAGTGGATAAGCATTGGTCGTTTCAGAGTCAGAGAACAGTTTTCTCGTGATAAATTATATTTTTATTCTTTAGCGTAATGGTTAATATACGTTAAAGAAAAGAAAATGGTATTGAAGTTGGTATGGAGAAAACTGTTTACTCAATATTAGAACCGACATGCTTTCAATGATAGTAGGTTGCAATTACATTAGTTGCGATAATAAATTTGATCGAGTACAGTTGCACGATTGCGTATTATGTTAATTACGTTATTCGAATTTAATTATGATCGTGTATATTCGAGGAAGAATTAAACAGGTTTTTTATCCGCGTGCAACGATGGCAGCGATTTCAATTTCGATCACGTTACATCATGGCCTTGTGTGCGGTGGAGATCCTGTTTGCCCGTTAGTCGAAAGAAATCCTTCGCCGTTGTTACATGCCGTCGACTTCTTTTGATCTTACATACATCTTCTCGTACCTTCGATCGTATGTAATTTATTCGAGCTCGTAACAGAAGGAATATTTTTCTTTTTTATTCCGGCCAACAATTTAGACTTTCGAACGGTGCCTACGATTGGTGGTGCCTGTAAACGAAGTGATCTGCTCCTCGATCCACGGACTTACTATGCCGAGCCATTACTGAACGTGGTAAACACGGGGCCGCAGATCGATCACACGCGAAGCTACACCTCGGTTAGTCTGACGCTGAGGCCCCCATCCTCGGAACCTCAACCACCGATCGACATCAGATCACAGGGCTCGAGTCTCACTTACTCGAGCTCCTCTCTAGATCCTCGGGGCTTTCAAAGTCGTCTTCAGATCAGCATTGGGGCGGGAGCCGTTGGCACTGTGGCGGCTGCGAGAATCAGGCCTCCGATGGGCCCCAATAGGCCCAACAGTCTGATACCGCCGGCGCAGACCGGTCCTCAAAGACCACCAGGTCTGTATTATTTTCCTTTATTCGCGATTTCTTCTTTTTTTTTTTTTTTTTCAATCCTATAAATAAAAATATATACGCTTCTAAAGAGATCGAGTTAGCCTTTGACCGATTGAAAACGTGCAAGTTGCAGGTCTTCCAGCAGGGCCACCTAGTCAGTTGCCGAGGCCTACGACGACAATGAGCGCCCCAACTACACCTTCCGTACCATCGACAACGAACATCGTCCCTTCCATTAGCCTTCCAACGACTCCGTCAG